CGGCAGGATACTTCTCCGTGTGTGCATGGAACTTCACTAGCGATCACAGAAAGAAGAGTAGATTTCCCACTACCAACTGGCCCTGTAATGACTGTTAAACTACTTGCAGGTGTGCAAAACTCGATATCTTGAAGAATGTAGGAGTCTTGTCGCTCAATTTGCTTGTACGCCAAACTTCTCACACGCAATACCGTTTGATCTTGTGATTCATTCAAAGTGGAAGAACCTCCCATATTTTCCTGGCAATCTACTGAATTCCTTTTTATCTCAGATGAGTTCCTCGCTTCAATCTCTGTTTCTTTTCGGTTTGAACGATCACTTGAACTGATTCGCAAATTTTTCAAAAGGAGAAATTCCTCAATTCTGCCAAGCGAGGCGTAAGCTTCGTATCCCTCTAACAAGGCAAACCCGAGGAAAGTGCCGATACATTTCGCGAGCATGTTGTTAAATGAAATCAACACAAAAACGTTGAACGGTGTTAGAGTTTCTTCAGTCAGCACAAGGGTAATGACTGACAACAGTGTTGCAATGATAACAGAAGTGAATCTTAGGGCCAAAACACCTGCGCGTAGAACACACATCTTTCGAATAATGGCAATTTCATCTCTGGAAAAAAAGACGAGTAAAATTGGGATATTTTGACAACGATTTAGTCGGTGACATACATACTTAGTGGTCTTGGTGTTCTAGGCGATCTCATTGGTTCAATATATGAAGTTTGTACCATTCAGAAAAAACTACTATCATGCATAATAACTCATTCCGCACGAAATATGGAAGTAGTGGCACAAAATATGGAAATGGTGGGCTGTTAAATAAGAAATAGGCTTGGTTTCATTTGGCCAAAAGTACAATTGGAATCGAGTAAGAACAAAAACAACATTATTTCATCAATGGGCGTCTTAAACAGCCTGCATGAAACTTGAGTTCTGTATCGAGCAATTAGTTTCATAATATCTTTACATACCTTCGTGGTTTCTTGATTTGTTGGCGGTATTCATCTTCCCACGCATGCATTTTGATAGCACGTATCCCTGAGACAACCTGATTCATCAGAGAGATGCGTTGGTCAGAGACCACTGCTGTTTGCAATCGCAGAACAGCGCCCCCTTTGGACAGTAAGACGAAATATGGAAGGAGAAGATACAAAAAGAGTACTCCCATGAGAGACTGCCAGCCAATGTAGTACACCATCAAAAACGGAACAATGAGGAGCTCAATTAATGTAAGGAAACCAAAAAAGATCCACTTGATTGTCTCTCCTTCCAAACGCTGAACATCGTTTGAAACCAGGTCAATCACTTTACCTGTTGTGTACTGTAATAATGCGTCTTTGCTGAGTAAAAGTGTCTGGAAAAGAGGAATAATTTCTTTTTAATAAAACGTGAGCACGGTTATTGAATTTTTAACCTTCTGATTGGCAAAACGCAGTCATGTTGTGAGCTTACACAGTAGCTCCGAGTTCACAGCTTAATTCCGACAAATATGGTCAATTATGTGAGCAAGCCGTGAAGCAGGGCGTAAAAATTTACGTAACAGCCTAACTCAAGTCGATCTGAGCAGTCCCTTTGCTCGTCTCCCCTATGTAAACAGATTAATTTCCACGTGAAAACTTCTCAGTTTTGGCTACTTCAGACTGCGCAAAGCTTTGTGAACTTTAAGAACGTCGACTTTCTTTCACAAGTACGAAGTTGTCTATCGTGTTATATTTATTTTTTGGAATGGAATTTGCTTTTTTCTTTCGGTCGTTGTCAAACCAAAGAAAAGCTTGTTAGTAGTAAGGGCTAATAATCAGTTGTGTGCGTTTTTACGAAAACAATTATCCTATTCAGACCCTCGCCTGACGTCTGAATTATTACATCCTCTACATTTTATAGAAGTAAGGTACCTACCTTATGATAAATAAGACCATTCAGAGCACTTCTCAGGGTTATTCCCATTAATTCACATCTGTACATAAGCGTTTGAGATGAAACTTTCTGCATCAAAGAGCTGATACTCAGAGCCAGCGCACAACCATAGAGAAACATTTTCTGCTGTGACTCCGTAGACATCAGCGATGAAATTAGATATCCAAGGAGCAAAGGAGAGGGAATACGGAAGAATGAGCGAAAAATACCCATGCAAATGAGGATCATAACTTCCCTAAAGGAGATTGTTCGTGTGACGCTTTTCCAAAGCTTTGGTCGTCCTCGCGGAGTTTCATGGCATTTTCTCTCTTCCTCCCTCCAGTTCTCCTGAAGATTTTCGGTTACGAATGACGTACGATTTTCTTTTGAAAGAGGTAAAAAATCACTTTGCTCCAACGCTCGTTGTTTGCCTGTTTTGAAGACACTGCTCATCCACTGGTAGAGAACATAAGAAACAAAGCCAACCTTCTGCGGAGCCTTTTCGTCGTCTTGCGAGATCTTGTTATACCCGTGCCTTGTCATCTCCAGTTAAGTAAAGCTAACAATGCACGCTAAGATAGGAAGGAGAACATGAATTAAGTCAAAACACAGACCATCAACTGTAAGTTCAAATCACAAATATATAGACAACTGTTATAGTATAGACATGCAGGAATTGTCTCTTGAGAAATGCATAGAGAAAATAAAATATCAACAGCGATTTTGCTGATAATTTTACAAATATAGAGAGATGTCTAAACTAAAAGCAGTAAATAATCATGGTACATGTTACCAAGTTATTAGCAGATCTATGGAAAGTTCTATGCACTTCTATTATAACTGAACATCTTACATTTTACCATGTTAATAGAAGATCTTTGGAAATTTCCATGCACATGTCTGGATCAATTTAAAATTGATCATCTTTCATTTCGCCGTATTAATAGAAGATCTATGCAAATGTCTGCATCAATTATAACATGACTTCCTACATTTTGCCATGTTACTGAAAGACCTATGAAAAATTTGCATGCACATGTCTGGATCAATCATAACTGGGCATTTTACATTTTACACAAGCAGAAAAATAGGTTTTTTTTTTCTTCGTAATATTTCTTATATTGCTTAAAACCGTTGTCCCATTTTAATAGGATACATATGTTTTCTTAGGCTTTCTCGCTAAGAAAACTTTAGTTTAATACATGTGTAATACATGTGTAATACAACGAGCATTTAGTGTTGTATACATAGCCGGGAAAGTGTAATTCATCATTTCTGATATATTTTGAAAGGTTAAGCTGTGCCATTCATTAAAAATCCATTATCATAATTATTACCACTTTTAATTACACGTCTACTAAATCATGAAGTTGCGTTAATATATGTCCGTGGCCATTGTGGTAATTAATTCTTAACGGCTACTCATAATGGCCTTGTTTAAGAATTGTGGGATTGTTCAAACACACTGAGTCAAAGCTCAATGGATACTAATAGTGGCCTTGTTCAAGAATTGTGAAATTATGGCCTTGTTTAAGAATTATGAAATTATTCAAACACACTGAGTCAAAGCCACAAGGTAAATTGCCGACGTACACCAGTTTTTTTTTATTATTTTGAATATAAAGAGGAGTAAATATGCTCATAAGCCTTTTGTTTGCTAAAATATCTTATACTTCTTTTGATGTAAATTTCATGCAGTGAGTTTGTTGTGGTGGCGGATTGACCGTAAACCTTTCATCTTACCGAGAAAGGAACAAAGCACTGTAGAGGAAGCCTAAAGAGCAGACAAGACTGACTTGGGTCAAACCTAGAGGGAAATTATGCAAGCTCGTATGACAGTAGCGCGTGGGTTTCTTTCAAATTTGAATGTTAAGTGAGTCGCAGTAAGAGCGTTATTTTGGTCAGAGAAACAAAAGCACGAAATACCTTGCTTTTCATAAAGACGCGAACTAGATTGAAAATATACAGACATGTAATTACGCTTTGTTAATTGAGTGATTAGTAGGAAAGTGTGTGAAGTTTTGAATTGTGAATTAGTCGTTGATTTTTTACTTCAGCTTTTGTCATGGACTGATGTAGCGCGAAAGTGCCAGGGTATGTCGAAGAGTTTAACCCCTCTCCTTCTTGCTCACACAAATTTGCTCTCCGTCACCGGGTAAGTAAGTAGTTATTGTTAAGAAAAACTTCCTGTATTGTATCTGAAAAACTACTCGGTCCACAAAAAACTAGAACATTTAGAGTTATGTTAGTTGTTGATTTTAGCCTGAAACAGGACCCTTGAATCAGTTGTGAGTTTTAATCAATTATTCAGAAAGTTTAAGTATATGATATAATATAACGCACGCCTTCTTTATTACAAAAGCCTTGTCCTTCCCATCCTTGATTATGCTGACATGGTATGGGGTGATAAGGATGACGCTGTCTTAATGAACAATCTGCAGGTGTTGCAAAATAAGGCGGCAAAACTTGTTCTAGATAAACCATTGTACTCTTCTGCAACCGATGCTCTCGATCAGCTCGGCTGGTTAAATTTAAAACAACGCAGGCACTTCCATCGCTGCTTGTATGTTTATAAATGCATGAATGGAATTACACCTCACAAATTGGAATTATCTAGAAACAGTGATGTTCATAGATACAACACTCGTTGCAAAGATAATCTTAGACTTGCATCAGTTAAACGGAACTAGGGTAAACAAAGAACCTGTTATCATGCCTTTAAAGACTGGAATGCCTTGGACAGTGACTTGAAGAACTCTGGCACTATATGTCAGTTTAGGAATAATTTTTTTAAATCTCTTAATCTATAGCTTACTTTTGTACTTTTTTTAATATCTGCAATTCTTATTTACTTTTAACAATTTAATGTTATTTTGGATTAGGACCTCTCTGTAGATCACCTACGGGTGAGAGAGCTTCCTGTTAAAATATCATCATTACATAATAACAAGCCTGAGGAAGCAAAGTCCAACCAAAAGATCTCTTCCTTACAAAGTATTTTCTTTGCACTTCCCATAAAGGCAAATAAGATATTCTCCGTGGGATGCGATTATTCTAGTTGAGGTCACCTGCGTTCCTTCATGTGAGACCAATCACTATATTGGAACGATACAGCGAAGCCCTGTCCCGATTGTATTCGGCAACTTATGAGCAACGTTTGGTGTTTGGAACAACTCTTTGTGGTCCTAGCAACCTTGTGCATTTTTTGCATTTCTGAACAATTTCTTAGCAACTGTCTCCGTTAAATTACTTTCCATGAACGGCAATAGATGGATAGAAGCCGCCTTTATTTGCAAACAACTCTTTACAGCTAAATTTATTATTGCGAATAACGAAAAATAAAGAGCACATTCGGGACAGGCCTAGGACAGTGTCCCTGGAGGAAGTCCGCTATTCTTATTTCTTTTTGGGAGCCACAGATTTTCAAGCTTGATAAATATTGAACAAGGCAGACGAGCTGTCATTCAATTGGAACTACTGGGCTAGTGTTCTTTCGTAATGCATGTGAAAAAACAACTCGGTCCTCAAAAACTAGAACATGTACACAGTAATACTGGTTGTTGATTTTAATTAAATTAATTTTGAGTTTTGAAATGGTTTTAAAAAATATCTCGATGTTCAAAACTGATATGTCATTGTTTTATCCAAACTACCTCCCACATCCTCTTATAAAGCTTAAAACCCTTTTTTTTTTATCAAAAGACATATTGAATAGCGCTTTGCAAACATACGTAAGAACCCTATGCATGGTGTGAATTTTATAAAATTCGATTGCCATTAATCCTGCCTCAATTCCAGGGAAGTCTGTCGTTAATGGTGAACAACTACCGCTTATTGTTTTTTCGGCTGTTTGTGGAAGCTTTCACGGACAATTGATAGATATCCTAGTATTAGATAAAACTTGCCTTTTATACCTTTAAGCCTATCTTAATGAGACCATTCCCCTGAAAAGAGTCTCCTCTCTACTGAACTAGACCAACCGGCCAAAATCGAGCGCATTTACGGGTAAATGCTGAAAATGATCTATACCCGAGGTTTGAAATATGTTTGCCTGTCTGCATGTTCATATCATGGCACCTTCACATAACTAAACAAGGCCAATAAATGACAAAGTGAACGCGATATCCTCTCGTTTCTCCCCATGTTGATAACTTTTTGAAATGTTTTGAATACATTCTCGTCGTCACATATCAAACGGTGTTGTTATATTGCAAGAAGCATCCTAGAGTAGCTAGTCAGTCAAGTTCACATGTTCAAGTTTTCCGGATTCACCTCATGACGGTGAATGTTGTGGCAGAAGTTGCACAAGACATACAGGGTGACAATCATCACGCAAAATCTCTATTCACTTGAAAAACGTTGCCATTCATATCAATACCCTAATTTTGAACAATTTCGTACACTACCTAAGCTTTACTTAGATTGATTGAAGTGAAATCCTGATGACAACCTCTGACAAGTTTCTGTGGTAGGCCGATGAGAAGAACGCCTTTTTGAAATTCACCACCACTTCGAACTCCCGAACGTTTCGATTTTGATCACCTATTATACTTATCTTTTTTTCAGAGGACACGGTAACGAATCCTGCAATCTGATTGGTTCTATACGCGGTCCGTATTTGTGGAGAAATTGATCTTCTCGGTTCACGAAAAGCACCAGGTGAACAGGCTATCTAGCATTCAGGAGGTGGTTGGGCTGTTCAGCGACACTCATGAGTTATTGCGCGGCAATAAAAATTATATCAGGAGCGAAGTTGCCAATTTACCAAAAGTTTTCAATGGCCGAAAGGGTAACAAGGCATCTAAGACTGCTACGTCAGTTGAAATGCTTAACGGCCTCGAAAACCCCCACGGTGTTAGATTACCCAAGAAACTTTTGAAAGGCAGCAAAAGATGGCTTAAAGAGGACAACCCTTTGGGCGGTGTACTATTTTACAAATCCAAATTCTTGGTATCCTGCACTTGAACAGGTGACCGCACAGAGCATACAGAAGATGAGGGAGTTGGCGTAAACATTTGTTGCAGCAGTGTGTTAGCGCTCTGTTAGACTGGAAACAGCGATGGCAATAGCTGGAACTCCCACTTTGTACCTCTATCAGAGAGAAATTTAGCCGTTTTTCCCACTTGGCTGTTAGTTTTTTTTACAGTTTGTTTTCAAACGGTTCTCTTCTACCCTTTACAGAATTTAGCTCACCTTCTTCCCTATAATTTTCATATTTCAGTTTACAATAAGTATTTGGTTAACTCGATTGCGTTAAATAAAACGATTCAAGGCTTGTGCGCAAAAATATCCTCGCTTCATAGTGTGTCTTTATTTGCGAAACTCATAGTTGCCATCGAAAATGTGCTTCACTTGTGTCGGCCGCTACAATTAAGTTTTCTTTATATCCCTTATGAAACTGTGGGATTGCTGTCATCTTTTGTGTTTTATGCACTTGTTGACATTGTTATTCGTTTCTTTGACACCGACCTGTCTGTACTAATACGTTTGTCCGTGATCGAAGTTTAGCGGAAGGAAGTCGTTATCGTGACTAGCGCACGTTA